GCAGAGGGCTGCGGGCGGAGGGGATAGCTCCCTGCGGGCGCTGATGGCGCCGTTGTGTGTTGCAGGATGCGTTACGTCGCAGCTTACCTCCTCGCAGTGCTCGGCGGCAACGAGTCCCCCACGTCCAAGGACTTGAAGAAGATCCTGGACAGCGTGGGCATCGAGACGGACGATGAACGCATGAACAAGGTGGCGTTGCCTCTCGATTCCACGTGGATGTGTCCCGGGCAGCGCCAGGCACTGGAGCTGCTTCCTTGGCTCCAGTGTTTCGGTTCCTTAGCTGCCGATGGTCTTCTTTTCACTTAGCCCATCATAACGGCTTTTACAGCTTTTGCTACAAGCCTTTCTGTGCTCCTCTCTCAGGTGTTGCTGACCTCTGGTTGTTCAGTCTGATCAACCTCACTGAAGTGGTAGCACTGAAAATAAGTTCTGTTCTGACTTCATGCGTGGCCTACACTAAATGTTTAGTTTGTATTCTTTGTGGTTAGTAGTGATGCAGAGCTAACACTCCTGAAGGCCTGATATTTACTAATACTTTCCTATTCAGTGTACTGCAAAGAAGCATTTGCTTCAGCAAGAAACATAGTCAAACCCCAATGTGGGTATTAAAGGTCAGTATTGATTCAGAGCTAACACTACCGAAGGCCTGATACTCACTGATGCATTTCTATTTAGTGTACTGCAAAGAAGCATTTGTTTCTTCACTAAGAAACAGTCAAATCCCAACGTGGACATTAAAGATAGGAGGATTTTGGAAGTGGTTGTGTTGGAAGACAGACTTTGAGTACCTTAGTTAGAAGGCTTCTGGTGATATAACAGACCTTCAGCAGTGAGGGCTTAACAATAATTTGGCCATGGGGACAAAGAAAAGAACCAATAAAATGATCTTAGCACCTGGCCCATACTTGCCTGTGGAGTGTTTCCAGAGAGGTGGAGGTAAAAACAAGGGTGTTTTCCCAGCTGGAGACAGACCATGGGCTGACTGAACTGACAGCATCCTTGCTTTGGTTTGGAATGTTGGTTTGAGCTCGTGATGCTCCTGTGTAAGTGCAAGGTCTTTGGCTTGTTTAGGCTTTATAACTTCATAAACCAGTTTTTTGATTCTCCAACATCTGGAAAGCTGCTCTGGAGTTTGTTTTCGCCATGATTGATTCATCCTTTTCTATTTGCATTTGGCAGTGTAAATCCAGTGCAAGGTTAAGAGCCCATATCTCCTGGATGGAGCAGGGATGCAGCATGGCATTCACAGCCCCCGTGCTGCAGGTGGCTTTTGGAAACCTGGTTAAAATGGTTTGGCTTTGGCCACTCAGCAGTGCTCAGCTCTGATTCCTGATAGCCAGGACTCACCACTAAGGCCCAAGGCACTATTTTTAAGTGCTTGCTTGCTTCAGCAGTTTTGGGGTTGGTGTTTTGCTTTCCTCACCCCTGGTTATACAACAGTGGTAGTAAAGCTGAAGCTGGGACTCTCTGTTCCAGTGCAAGGATATAACACCAGCTTGGCTGTCACATTTGGGAACACCAGGAGTTTGGGCTAGGACCTGGTGCTTCGGAGCCTCCCAGGGGGCATTAAGCAAGAAGTGTTAACAGTCCCTCAGTGACTGACAGGCCCTTAGTGGGGTTTCCTAATTGGCCCCAGAACATCTGTACATTTCTGCGATGTCCTGGGATTCACTGTGAGTTTATTGTAGCAGATTTAACAAAAAAAAGCTTTCACAGAAAAGTATAAAAGACTTACCTGAAGTTTTCATTTCAATGTCCTGTTCCTACCTCTGGGAAATAAGGAATTTTGAGGCTGTGTGAGCAGTAGGATAGAGGCATTGTAGGTGATGATTAATGAATGCTTGTTTAGACTTGGCTTATACTTAGTTTTGAAACTATTAACATTCTAATCTTTATTTACACAGGTTATTAGTGAACTGAATGGGAAAAACATTGAAGATGTGATTGCTCAGGGTAAGTAGAGTCTCTGAGTGCCTCTTTGATAACTTAGACCTGAGAGCACAGAGCTGCTGCCAGCTCCCTGACTGTCTTCCCTGACTTCCATGCCAGATTGACTAAAATCCAGGTCCATTCTAATTCCCTGCAGGCCAGTGCCAGTACCTGCTGGGTTTCGCTTGTGGACCACATTAAACTGGAGAACTCAAGTACATGTGAGCTTCCTGGTGGTCTGCTCATGCTGTAGTTTTCTGGACACGATTGGAGGAAGGAACTGGCTGTTCCTCAGGGTGCCTGGGAGATGCCCACTTGTATGCCCCAGTGATGCACAACATGAAGAGCAGGCTGTCAGGTGGCACTGGGGTGCAGTTACACCCTCTGCAATGAGTGAAAGCCTCTCCAGTGCACATCTCTTCCAGAGCTCCCCGAGTTCAGCATTTCCTCTGAGACAGGCCTTGAGTGCTGACGTCCATAGAAACTTATGCTCTTACCAAAGATGGAACTTTTAGCATTAACTGACTGGGCCATAAGGCTGAAGTAAAGCAGAGCTGAGGTAGTGTAAAGGTTTCTGATTAGTGAATTTATGGCATGAGGGAACTTGTAGGCATATTTTTACCTAAAAGTTGCCAGGACTGTGCCTGGGCTTGCTGTCCTAAGCAGTCACTAGACGTTCTATGCATGTGGTCTGAAGACCTAAGCGAGCTGTGGTGCGTGTGCTTACAACACACTTACTCTCTCTCTTTTGTTGTAATACTTTAAATAAATTGTTTCCTAGAACATACTGACATGCATATGAAACATGTTTGTTTACTTCGCTAGTTTGTGCTTGAAGTAACAGGGAATTATTTAGAAACTGATTCCCAGAAACTGGAATACAGGCAAACGTACTGTGTACGTGACCCCTGGATGCCAAGGGAGCCTTGGTATGTGCAAGACTGATGCCAGAGAACGAGCTAGCTGTCCAAATGTGAGCATAAATCAGAGGTCTCAAAGGAGATGCAATAGGGGTCATAGGGTGCTGGGGAATTTGCTTCAAATACTGTACTCTTTGCCATAAATACATATTTTCCCTCTCTCCTGTAAATGTGATCCTGTTATGCCTTCAGAATTCCCTAATAAAATAGTAAGTAATAAAAAAAGCAAAGGAGAGGGAAAGCCAGTGCTGCCAAGATGTTACTTTTGAGGTATATCGGCAATTTCTCGGTTGTTACGCTGTGTTCAGAAGACAATCTCTGGGTGTGTAGAATTGGTTTTATATGGTGGGTTTGAGGAAAAAAAATAGCAGATTTTACAGAAGAAAACTTAGCCATATTATGCTGTCAGTGTTCTCTTTGTGATCTTAAACTCTTTGACTGTGCTTCACAGAACAGTTTACACTTGGCGTGGCTGCAGCCTCTCGTTCCTTTCAGCAAGCAGTGACAGGTTCAGCACATGAGACAGGATTTGGTTTTTTCTGCACTCTCATTTCTCTTTGCTTTCACCTTACCTCTGTGTTTGGGATGAGCACATGAGTCCTCTGTTTTGTGTCCCCCTCAGGCAATGGAAAGCTTGCCAGCATGCCAGCTGGAGGAGCTGTGGCAGTCTCTGCTGGAGGGGGCTCTGCTGCTCCTGCTGCAGCTGCTGCCCCTGCTGCCGGTGAGTATGAGTGGAGGGGCAGGGCTACAGGGCAGCTCCTCTTGTCTCTGTTAAAGTCTTAGCAAATGAGTCCAAAATGTTAAGGGTTCTCCACTTTGGCTGTTCACTATGTGATAGAAACATGAACTGAGCAGTTACTTTTTCCTTTGGGCAACCAGAAGCATTATCCATTATAAGATTGGTCTGGCTTAGAACTGAGCATTAAACAGACTTTGTGGTGGTGTTAAGCACATCTCTGGAATAGTAGTATCTGTGTCCCCTCAGTGCTTATATTTGGCTATTGGAAGGGATGAGATGAACCATGGAGGCAGAAATAGCACAAACAGGGAAGCTGAGGACACCAAAACCTGTGTCTGAAAAATCCGTGATGCAAAAAATGTCAATGCTGACCATTTGCTTGTTTTTTTTCTGTTCAGCTGAGGAGAAGAAAGAGGAGAAGAAGGAGGAATCTGAAGAATCTGACGATGACATGGGATTCGGCCTATTTGATTAATTATTTGTTATAGAGAAACTATTAAAATCCCTTCTTGTAAATGGCTGTGCGTTTATTTTTATTACCATACAAGTGTTGCTGGATTCAGTTCTTAAAATAGCTCTGACACAGCTTTGATTTTTATCTGTCAGAAACAGGTGTATGAATTTTCTGGCAAGCTGTGGGACTTGACTCTTAGAGTACTGAGGAAGTGGCTGAGCTTGTGTGAACCTGGATGCTTGTTTTGACACTGCTGTTTCTTTATCAGTATGTGGAAGCTCAGTCTACCTGGTGTCAACCTTCTCCATACTGTTTTGTCATCCCAATTCCTCATGCAAGAGTCCCATCTATTCAGGGATAAAAGGCTTTATTGTTGAGGATGTTTTTTCATTCCAAAACTGAAATGGAGAGCAGGTCTGGATTAGCCCAGAAACACTATAATTTCAGAGCTAATTATAGTAATTATTATTTTTGTCAATATTTAAATGCTGATTTCATCACTGTGTCAAGATTTTGTAGGCACAACAACAGTAAAATGCTCAGCTGTGCTGGGATTTCATGCTACATCTGTGTGCTTAACACAGAATCTGTAACCAAAAAAATAGTGCATCCTGCTCTTCATGGGATGCAGCTCAGTGCAAAATGCCCTTCACGGTGAATGGCTGTTCTGGGGGTAGCTCAGTTGGAAGGACATGAGTTAACTTGAGAATGGTGTTTTTGGAGAACTGACACTGATCTCTTGGATGCCCAGAAGAATGGATCAGCTTGGGAGGGCAGTACATTTGGCTTCATTTACTGTCTTCTAGAAGATGGTTTGGGCAGGTGCCTTACCCTGACTTCTTGTGGAAGTCTTCAGCGGTCACTGTAAGTAGGTAGAGTACAAACTGCACGTGTGACAATCTTCCTGTGCCAAGTCTGCACAGGTGATGTCAAAAAGGTGTCCTGGAGCAGTGTATGCTCTGAAGCTTTCCTGGTAGTTGTTTCAGGGGAATAAAAAACCACTAGCTGATACAGCTATGGTCATTATGAGTCATTGTACTAAGCATGGGAAATACTTCTGAGAGGAGAGGGGTGAAATCCAAGTAGGAAAAACTTATCTCCCTGTGGTGTGCTGAGGGAAAACACCCAATACTTCACAGCAGCCAAGGGAGAGGGTTGAGCCTCAAAATGGCCATGATTTAAGCAACTTGCCCTTGCTGCCCTTCTGTGCCTGCTACAAGAAGTTACAGGATGTAACAGTGCCAATACCTTTCATCTACTTAGCCTCTTAAGCCCTGGCATAGTCATGTGGTAGTAATAAAAACCACTCCATTTTCACTGTAGTTCTCTGTCAGAATCCTACTGGCAGTGGTTTGGCCCTGAGAGGGGTACAGGTATACTCTTGTTTCTTTCAGTGGTGATTTCTCCCTCTCAGGTCACTGAAAAAGAGTGGATGTGGTTTTACTGAGAGGTACCCACCATGCCCTGCCCTGACACTGCCTTGCTTGGGTACTGCAAGAGCAAAGTTGATGTTTTCACAGGGTTTTTCCATGCACAAAGGAATTTGTTTCAATGGCACTGAGCTGTGTGATGAGTTTGCTGTGCCCAGGCCTGTGGGGCGAGACAAGCCTGTGATGCCAGCTGCTGCCTACTGTGATAGAGGGAGGAGCACAAGTACACTTAAACTAACTTCCGTTGTCCCCATGTTTATCTTCTCCCTATGACCTGTTAAAACTTGAGTTATGGACCTGATCCTGGGTATGCGCTTATCACTTTTAAATTCCTTCCAGAAAGTGCTTATTGTCATGAAAACTTCTGTCACTCAGTCTGCTTTGAGAAAAAGGACACCTTGTTTGGTAAACCCTGCAGAGAAGAAACTTTCTGGGGCAGCTCTCAGAGAAAGCACAGAAAACACAGCGCTCGTTACTGTGCCACAGGGAGCCAATGTTTGTAATGTGACCACCTTGTAGGTTTTCCTCCAGAAGGTCAGAGCACAGCTCTGCTCCAAAATGTCACACATGATTTCACACACAGAATTTGCTAAAACCTCTGCATGGTGAACCTTTCTTCTGAATGCAAAATCAAAGCATCCCCTGTCCCTATTTGTGAAACAGTTGTTACCTGATGGCTTTGTATACAAGCAGTGATGTGCCTGGAGGTCTGTTGCAAACTTGTTTGGTGCTCTGGATAGAGTTCCCCACTCTGTTCATAGCTGATTTCAATGAGCTTCAGCTATGAAGGAGTTGGGATCCTGCTCTACTGTAGTCACTGTTGTGAATTTTCAAGCATCACTGGTGCCTTTTCAGACTTAGCAATGATTTCCAAAAGCAAAGGTACTGTTGAGGTGGATCCATTGTATTCCATGATACTCTCAGTGAAAACCAGTGCCCTCAAACACTTGGGCTTGTGGCCTTGTCCATCCTGTGCAGAATCAGTTTTTTTCTGGAATTCTTCATAAAGAAAGGCTCAGAGGCATTGAAGAGAAAGGAAAGGATTATCCTGTGCCTGGAGATTACACTGGTCATTACCAAACTGACAGCAGGGGAGAGTGATTTAGTCATAGGCTTGACACTGAAATGTGTGAGCTTTCCTCACTGGGACACAAATGCTGTGCCATCTCAAATCGGCTCTGACTGAAAATCACTCCTTACACCATGGGGCAGGGAGTGTGACATGACATCTTCACTACTTGGAAAGCAGGGAGAACGTCCTGGACACTGCTGTAAAGCAATAAGCAATGGCTCCCTGGAGCCACTCTCAAATTAACTGGTTTGGCTCTTACTACGAAGGCCCAATTTTGCAAGCTGCTACATGCAGCATGAACTCTGCAGGTTGGACTTACATGGGGCAGAGATTCCTGTAGTAGCTTTCCTAGAAGGAAAATTCAGTCCCAAGACAGCAGGACATAGGGACTGCTCCCTTGCCTCAGGAGATGCTCCTGTGAAGCAAGTCCCAAGTCTTTGCCATGGAATGGCCTGATAGACACAAACATGACAGACAAGAAAAAGACACTGAAGTCAGGCTTTCCAGCGATGTTAAGAACATTGGAGTTGGGTGTCAGTCTGGGCAAGGATGCTAAAGTAACACTCTGAAATCAACAGTGGTTACAGCCTGCCTCTCCTCTTCCCCTGGATTCCCGACAGCTGGCAACAGCCACAGTCTGACTGGAAACAACAGACAGAGATGGTTTGTAGGTTATCATCCCCTACATACCAACTGCTCACCATTCACAAACACAATGACTAGGGATTGCATGCAAAGCTGTCTCAGTGGCACCTCAACTTGTAAGGGCCTGAGTGAACCTGCAGTGTTCCAGCTGGAGTTTGATACCAGTGCCTTGTAAACCTTGCTGACCTGGCTTAATGCCATGGCGTGAGCAACAGCAGAGCCATGGAACTTCTATACTGAGGGGAAGAAGGTTAGTTTTGGGGATTATTTTTGAGCAGAACATGGTTGTTTGCCAGCCTGCTAGTGCCAGTACCCAAGCAGCACTCCACGAGAGATTAGTGTTCACATGGTCCATTTCATCAACCTGTTTCAACAGGACTGCATTAACCTCCTCAAATAAGTAACTTGAGGGCCAAGGCAGAGTGATGTAAACAACTCAGGATAAGATTGCTGTTGGGAAATCAAGTGAAACTAACTCCAGAATTCTCGCAGCATTCTCGTTTCTGTTTTCAAGACATGCTAGGAACATTAAGTTTTATGAAATGCCAAATAAAGAGGTTGGCCTGAGAACAAAGCTGTTTCTTGTGGTAGCAAGTGTTAGGGAGGTATCTGCAAACAAGGTTCAGTGTTCAGTTTTGCCACAGACTTCCACTAAAGTCACAGCCCATTTAACAGTTCTCCTGCAGCACAATCCCTGTTCTGGAAAATGGGAGACACAGTGTTTTCTTTGGGTTTGACTGCATGAAAATACCTTTCCGTGTCATCAGAAGAATAGGGTGAAAGCACTGTGATTGTCTTGGTGCTAAGGGCCTTTAAGAGAGTCGAGGCTCAGCTGTGCCAGCCCTCACCTCTTCAAGTGGAGGAGATGAAGGCTGCAGGGGTTACGTAACCACATCAAATGCAAGGGAGGAAGGAAATTACAAAAGCAGGTGGAGGTATGAAAGGAAGAGAGAGAAGGGTGGGTATGAACAGAGGACTTAAGATAAGCAGGGTTAATTCTTCAGATGCTCCAGGATCAGCTGAGATGTATCAAGGGTAGTTCCTGGCAGACAGGTGAGGCGGTGGGCTCCGGGGCAGGACCTGAAAGAAAGAGAAACCTCTACTGCCCATCTGATGAAAGGAAAGCACAAACAAAGCTCTCTCTGTCTGTAGAGGCTGGACTATGATGCCTAACTTGAACTCCAATATTGGATTTATACAAGGGTTACCTGCTGAATTTGGTTGCTTCAGTCACCTGACTGTGAAGCAGCAGAGTGAGGCATTAAACAGCTGTTCTTGCAACCTGCATAGCCACCCCATGGGGAGGGTATCAGTCTCCCTGGTATCACGTGAGAGGATATTTGGAGTGGAAGAAACAGGAGAGGGGCTAATTGGATGACCTCCGCTAACATAACTGGTGAAATTCCTGTGGGGAGGAAGGCCTGGCTTTGCTTAGTCTGAGAGCTGTTAAGGACAGGTATCACAATATCCCAAAAGTTAAACTTTTGACCAGTTACAAGGAAACTAATCCAAATTGCTTTATGCCAAGATGGATTAAGTAGTTCTTTAAGTATCAATAGAAAGTGCTTTTGCCCTATGTTGATCCCATTAAAGTCTATTTCTGCTTTTTGTTTTGTATCCTCCAAACCTCCCTCCTGCTGATCTTGCTTCTTTGCTTTGAGTTGAGCAGCTGCTCTCTTGCTATGCTGATTGTTTTCATATTCCTGTAAACTTTCATACTCAGCTTTGACTGACTGGAGTCTGTCCTGTTTATGGCAAGGGATCTTTCCAACTTCTGAAGTCTATTTTGACCTCCTAGTAGCACTGGCCTCTCACCCAGTGCTGCTCTGTGGTGAGCTGATATGCCACGGGCTCGTTTGTGCAGAAGCACTACT